GTGTGTGTGTGTGTGGTGGCACTATGTGGTGCACGCGTGTGCGGAGTACGGCTTCAGCGTGCGCGCGGCAGCAGCCACGATAATCCGATGGGGGTTTCGCATCGCTTCCGGGGGATTGGCTCCGATTGTTGTTACCTCGATCCGGCCGATGAAGATACCGGGATATACGGGGTGTCCCAGACCTACCGCGTGGCCTCTCAACCGCGATTAGTTCGACAGATCCCATGATTGTCCCTCCGCGCGTGTTTGTCAGAAAGCTATCGTCCGCGTTGGAATTTGCTTGAAATTTGCACCACTCCACCGCAACTCTTGATTTTACTTCCTTTTCTCTTTAATTAAATCAGATAAACATTGAACTCGTTAATAAATGTAACATCAGTTTTGAAATAAAATTTATGAAAGATAAATTGGCAATACCAAGTCGCGAGCTTGTTGGAAACCAGTTGAGATTTTTTAATGTCAAATTTATCGTCGCCTCGATATTGAGACAGCCGTCGTCCTCGATAATCTCATAATGGAGACACCCGGTGCATGTGTTGAACACGATAGATTTCTGATCGTTCCGATCGACAATGCATTTTTGAAAAATTTAACCTCAACACTGCGGTACGAGAGATCGCAAGTCGACGGGCGTCGCTTAGAAACTCCCGTAATGCAATGATGACTCGTGTCTGAGAATGACAAGTCGTTTCTGGGTTACCGACGAGTCACGCGTCAACGGATACGCATAGTTCGGGATTAAGAAACCGACTATCCCCTCGGCCATCGACGACTAGGTAATAACAAACGTGCGGCGTAATGTTGAAAATATTGTGTCAGCCTTTTTTTCCAGACGCTGATATCCTTTACAGTCTTGTCTCTATAAGTTGTATATGAGTGACAGTCTCTATTTAAAAAGAGCTGAACGTTACAAAATAAAAAAATCCTCTCGATTTAAATAAAATAGGAGTATAGAATTTTTCGCTCGGTTTACATATTTTTCAAATATTTCGCGAAACAGATTAATTCTAATACCTTACATTAATAGCTAAAATTATAATATAAAAAAAGAATTCCGGTCGTCGGTGGCGAGAAAGTGAACCGAGTCATCTCGAAAAAAGTCACGTCCCCCCATCTCTTCGAGAATTAAGTTCCCTGCCATTGTGTTCGAGACGGGTAGATGTGAAATTCGCGCGTGAAACTCCGCTATCGCGGAACACGCGAACTTCTCGGGACGACTGATTTCGTCGGCAGCACTCGTCGCGTCGGCGAGTCTCGCGAGATAGGTCTCGGGTGATCGTCGTACGATTGTGACGCGGCAGCTCGGCTTCGATCGATTGAAGGTTCCCTGGACGGCGATCCCGAGACGAGGGACAGCCAGACGGAGAACAAGAGCCCGGATGGCGGCGCCGGCGGTGGCAGCGGCGACGGCGGCGCGGGTTCGAAGCGACGCGGCCCACGGACCACTATAAAAGCGAAACAATTGGAGATCCTGAAGACGGCCTTCTCGTCGACCCCGAAGCCTACCAGGCACATCAGGGAACAGTTGGCGAAAGAGACCGGCTTGCCCATGAGAGTCATACAGGTGGGAAAAGTCTCTTTCTCTCTCTGTCTCTTGTCACGTTTAGACTAAAGCTTCTATCGATTACACGTTTCCTTTTCTGATATATCATCTGTCTGTTCTGTTTTCCTTCGAGTGCTATTATTTAGTTGAATATCCCGATGATTAAAAATCTAAAATAAAAATTTCTGTTAGCATCTTGCGTGCTAAAAATTCATCAAAAAAGGACAAGGTTTTATTATGTTAGATAGTCACGTTTAGAGAGGAGAAATCTTGAAAAATCTTCAAGTTTTGGAGTTGATAATTAAATAGTAATAATTACATAATAATTATAGTATGATATTGTAATAAACGTAATAATTTATCTTTCCTCTCTCGGTTTATGTAACGATACTTGCTACTCAGGCAGTCACTCTTTGTCTTCTACGAAGAAAATCGTTATTAACATCGAAGCGAATCGCGATTTGCAATATCGGCGACGCTTTTACGCAGCTGGCATCTAAATCGCCGTTAAAAACGACGCCGCGCTCAGAAGTATTCAGCTGTCGTGAACAAGTAGGAAAAAAACCGCGTCGACAAACCATTTGCCGGAGAATAACTCATTTGGCACGACGACGTCATATTATTTACCGAGAAATAATTTCGCGACAGCGCCGCCGGTTAATTTGCGATGTATCATCGATAAAAAAAAATTGTTTACCACGGTTTTCTCGTGTCCTAGAATGCAAAGGGAAGAATAAAACAGACGGGACCAAGATACATTACATATATTCTAAACCTGCGTCCTTTTTGAACGTTACCTACAAACTTTTACAGTTAAACGGTGATGACGATACACAAAAGAAAACCGGTATGCGCGAATAAGTGCGATATTTTTTATACTTTCTTTTTTTTTACAATTTTTTACAAAAATTACAAAAATAATGTTAATACGTGTCCTTGAGCGAGAGATTAATATTTGTAAGACGGCTGTGCGCAAAATTGGAAAGCAGCGAAAGGGAAGGAAAGAGATCGTCGTTAAATAATTCAGCGATTAAAGAGGCGGCCGGTCTTGTTCGCTTGCTGGTTTTCAGGTCTGGTTCCAGAACAAGAGGAGCAAGGAGCGCAGGCTGAAACAACTGACGTCGATGGGCAGGAACCCCTTCTTCGGGGGCTCGCGCAAGATGCGCGGGTTTCCGCTGAACCTGAACCCGGGCGCTCTCGGCGGCGAGGACGGACCGCCGCCCGGTTTCCCATACTTTCCGGAGAAATTTGAATTCGGCTACGGCGGCCCGGTCTTCCATCACGAGTTCTTCGGCGCTCATCCGCCCCCGCATCCACACGGACCGCACTTTGCCGGTACGGGAAATCCAGGTGAATCTCCCACCAGCACGGATGATTATCGTTACCGTTATTATTACATTTCTTCACTAGCTAGAGTCTAGTTTTGCGTTTATGGCGTTTTATAGAACCGAGACGAAAATTTTGAAGATATCTCGAAGGCTCTATCTCGTTAAATTGATCTTCTCTTTTTATTCCCGATTAGATTTTATTTCCTACTTAGAATTCTACTGTTTTGTTAATCGCACGGCTTTTGTCTCGATAATATAGGAAAAAAAATGAAAGTAAAAAACGATCTATCTCTACCGAGGCTCGGAAAGCCTAGTCCCGGAATCTCGCGTAATTATAATAAACCTCGAATCAAGTAGGTAGGCCCCCGCGATAATTATGACAGCCGGTTTCGGAGATGGCCGAGCGGATACGAGATCCCCTCTGAGAGCAGTACGTAATCTGTTTCTGACAGGCCTGGACCCGGCCAGTTTAGCGGGCATGGCAGCCGCAGTGGCGGTGGCAGGGGAATATCCACCTCCAGGCGCGGGGGGCGGCCCTCCGGAATTTCTCACGGGGCCCCCCGGGCAGGGGCCCCCTGCGCCCACCGGCGGCAGCCCCGGAGAGTTCCTGGCACCTTCAGGTAAGAAGGAAATATCCTCGCCGAACCATTACCACCGAAAATCGACCGAATCGCGATCGCCGATCTGCCTCGGTTCTGCCCGCGAGCGGACTTTATGTTTGCGTTCGCGCCGATTTATTAGCGTTATTTTCGCAATGCGGCGGCAACCATTAACTCGCGAGCGTTTTAAGAACATTGATCTGCTTTCTGCATCATCAAAAATAATATTTCACAAGTCGTTTCGTTAGACGTCGAATAATTTTTTATTGGAAATTAAATAATATCTTAATATATCAAATTTTTTCCATTCAATTAATTTTATATTTTGTTTGTTTTTCTCAGCTTGATTTCCGGCAATACGCGTGAATTAATGAGCGGAAAAGAGAGTGTATGCTAATGTCTCCATTCCAGTCAATTTCCTAACGACTTATTGTACACAATCTTTGTTACGTCGAACGTGCCGTGTCGCGTTAATTAGGAACGCTTTAGTCTCGCGATATCGAATCGAAACTGTTTCACGCCATTCAGCGTTTCACGTTGAAATGAAAATTATACGTTGCTGTTAACCTTTCGCACGCGGTATCATTTTTATCGTGCGGCATCGCGTTATTATTCGTGCGATGTTATTTCGTGCACGAAAGACGCGCGCGCGAGGGAGAGATTTCTAGCCGAGGTAGGATTTTCTGCAACAAAGTACAGCAGCGTGAATGTCATTTCCTTCTGAGCCCGTCGTACGGATAATTGAGATCTGGCAATCACCTGGCGTGACCTTTCGCGATACGTCTAACTAAAATTCACGTTTTCCAACATGCGTCAGATACGCATACGTGTCTTATCCGCCTGTCACCAGCATATCAATCAAGTCACACACACGCGTGGTATTAATTTGTTGAGGAAAGTGCACAGTCGCATTAGCAATCAAAGTACCTATAAAAGCAACACGTTTAGCGGCTAACGTGGCTTCTGGCAACTCGAACCCGCAAGTTTAAGTATTTTACAAGTATTTATACACACTTTTATTGTACTCGTTAAAATGTTTAGCAGCAAATATTATATTAGAGACATAATAGAAAAGATGGGAAAAAATGATAGGATAAAATTCAAATTGCAGTTTTGGAATATGGTAAATTATTTTGGATATATGGAAAGAAACGAAAAGAACAGTTTTACGGAAGTATCTAAACAAATTTGGCCAGATATAGATTTAAGAATAATTTTGGGCCATTAAAATAATTATGTAGGATATAAAACAATAAAAATTTTTATATAATAAAATATAACTATCTGTAGAACATACTTAAAAATATAATTGAAAATTCTCTTTTTGCTCTGATAATGAATAAATAATTATATATCTAGGATTGAATTGTGGCTCTATTTTCAATTAGGCGTAATTCATTTTTAGATATATAATTATTATCGAAAAAGAGTTACTTTTACAAATATATTCTATCAATTGCAGATGTTATATTTTACAAGAATTTTTTTGATATGTTTTCTCGTTTTCGACTTTATAATTCAAGGTGGCTGCAATGAGTCAATAAGTCTTGAGTATGGTGATAATATTATAAAAATTTTTAATATTTTAATCAATTTGAACACTTTACATAATTATTTTGATGGCTCGATAAAATTATTTTCATAACTGAATCCAACTGTATCTGAATTTTCAAATACTTTATTAAAACTGTTCTGTCCATGAGATTTTTTAAACGTTTGAAACGTTTCAAGAATTTTCAAATATTCAAGAATCTCCAATCTCTTGTATTCAGAATGATTTGTATTTCTCTCTAGATTAAATAGCTCGAAAATTTTTGTCGCTACTCGGAACTCTCTAACCAAGGCTTTCATTGATGCTTTCACGGGACAGGTGTACTGCAAGCGTGTAATTGATAAACTAAAAAAAGAGCCAGCATGATTGTCGGGGATCAGTATGCCGAGTTTTTATTTAAAAGATACAACAATGGCGAAATATATAAAGCGTAGCACCGGCTATCGGAGAGTCCGCGTTAATATTTATAAACCGCCGGCGGCGGATTGTCTCGTCGACTTTCACGGGACTTCCGGTCGGCGGTTGAATCCGTCGCGTCGCGTTGCGCTGCGCGTTGCGGGATTTAAATCTTAATTGGCATCGACGCCGTGCGCGTTCGCTTGTTCCCAGGTGGAGGGCAGGGTAATCCGAGCGGCGGTGGCGGCGGGAACGGCGGCGGTCCGGGCGGCGGCGGCGGCGGCGGTGGTGGCGGGGTTGCGGGCGGCGGATTCCTGGAACCGCACCAGATGCAGAGCGAAGGGCTCGCCTGGTAGTACGAGTTTTAATTAACGTCCCTTATGATAATAACAATTCCGCCCGCGCGCCTAGAACCGAACAAGATCGCGAGAGCGAGGCGCCGCCGAAGAAACGAGGGGGCGAGGAACGATGGCGATGACGGGGACGGCGGCGACGGCGGTGGCGGCGACGACGACGACGACGACGACGACGACGGCGACGGC